GGGAGTTGGTACACGTACATAACACTTCTCAGTTTTTTCATCCCTTTTCCCCCACCTCTTCCATTCATCTCTTAATCCCCTTCCCAGTTGAAAAAGATCTCCCTACTTCCTATTATCTATCTTTTATCTTGTTATTTGTATTATGGGTTTCTCATATAAAAGAAACCATGTGATATTTAATCTTGTGTATCTGATTTATTTCAATTAAGATTGTGGTCTCAAGTTGCATCCATTTTCCTACGTATCACTCGTTTACGCTTTATGGCAGAGTGTACTCTGTTGTGTATAAGTACCACATCTTCCTTATCCCTTCATCTGTTGGTGAACACATAGGCTGCTTCCAAGATTTAGCTATTATGAATTGTGTGCTGTAAACGTGGGTTTGCATATATCACTCCAATATGATCTCTTTAACTCTTTTGCGGTGATACCTAGAAGGAGAATAGCTGAGTCAAATGGAATTTCTAGTTTTAGTTTTTTGAAGAATCTCCATACTGATTTCCATAGTAGTTGTACTGTACTAGTTTATATTCCCACCGATAATGTATAAGGGTTCCTTTATTCCCCAAAACCTAACCAACATTTGTCACTATTTGATTTCTTGATTATAGCTATTCTTTCTGGAGTAAGATGGAATCTCAGTGTTGTTTTAATTTGCATTTCTCTAATGGCCAGTGATGCTGGAATTTTTTCATGTGTTTATTGGCCATTTGTACTTCTTCTGAGAAGTGTCTGTTCATTTCAGTTACCCATTTTTTGACTGGGTCTTTTATTTGGGGAGTCTATTACACTCTAGATATGAGTCCTCTGTCTAGACTAATTACTTTAAATTAATTGTAATTTAGATACTTCGTGAAAGGCATACAAATAACAGATAAGCACATGAGAATATATCCAACAGCAATAATCAGGGAAATACAAATTAGAGACACAATGGGCTACTACTATACACTCTTGGCAAGTAGGTAGGGCAACTTTAGCTCTCCTACTTCCCTTTTGGAAATATAAAATGACAAATCCACTTTGGAGAAGAACCCACTTTTGTAATAAAATTTAACCTGTATTCACTATCTGACTCACCAGTTCTACATGTACGTTCTTATCCAGGAGAAATGGAAACGTCCTACACTGTCTTGTACACACATCTTCATAGAAATGTATCTGAAACGACTCCAAGCCAGAAGCAACTCCAACCTGCATCCACAGGTGAGAGGATGAGCACACCGTAGCCTTACAATGCGCTGTTATTCAGTCATGTGAAGAGCAGGTACGGACTTGTGCAATGACACGAGTAAATTTCAGAGTCCTGCTGAGCAGAAGTTGCCAAGCGTGAAAAACTACTTACTATATGATCCTGTTTACATGAAATCCAGAATAACCAAACCTAGTTTATAACAATGCAAAGTAGGTTAGTGACTGGCTGGCTGGGGTGAAGGAGCAGGTGACTGACTACAAAAGAACACTGAAGGCACTTAATACGTTTATCAAAGTTCATTGCACTGTACACTAAGATGCCGTGCTTTCTTGTAAATGTAGTTGAGTTAAGTAAGATAATATGTGTAGGCCCCGAGCACTATTCCGGAATGAAGTTAGTGCTGCGGAAATGTCATCTCCCTGACCCCACCGCTCTAACTCCTCTTTGCACCCCTGCTGTGTTTACACACTCAGCGTTGTGTGCTTCTCACACTCCACTGCCTCTCCAAATCCCTCCTATCTTTCCAGGTGTGGCTTAAATCTCTCCGGCCTGAATGTTTTCCAGGTAACTCTTGAAGAATCTACTGTGTATTTGTCCAGAACTAAGCACGATCGTACTCCTACTGACAGGTGTCGCTCCCGCCTACCGGATGCATTCACGTCCTGCTTCCTCATCGGTTTTGAAGGCTTCAAGGGTAAGTACTATCTCATCACTGGCTGCTGTAAAGCTCCCAGGAGGTGTTTCTCACTGATTGCTAGCTAGGATGGTGCACCTCCTGTCCCTGGTCAGCAAGCCCCTGGGACAGAGACTGGCCTGGAGAGATAGTGTGGTGACCCAAAGGGAAGTGGGCCCTGCAGCCCAGCGGTCCTGGTCTGCACCTTGACCCTGCCGGCTGCTACCTGTGCCGCTCTGGCCAGCTTACTTAGCCCAGCTGAGCCTGCAGTCCCCGCCAGTTTCGTGGGTGTGATTGTTGGAGTGAGATGAGAGAGACTTGCGGCAAGCGCCTGGCTACCATCTGCTGTTCTGGAGAGCTGGGTGAATGGGTGTAGCACCAGGCCCCTGGCCTGGCAGAGGGTTCACGGAGCTGGCGTCCTTACTCGAAGGACACCTTGACGGTGGTGTTTTGCTGGTCTTAAGCTCATTTCCCCAGAGAGGAGAAAAATGGGCTGGTCTCCAGGTTCTGCATCCCTCACAAAAGCTTCCTGTGTTTCTCCAGCCTCATCCACATCTGGTTGTACTTACAGCTCTAAAAATGTACCCATCCTGTTTGCCATGTTCACATTTCAGAACGTGGGGCAGCCGCAGGGGAAAAAGCCCTCATAAATACCATGCATTAGAAGAAAAAACACAAAAACGCAATGCTGTGCGTCTACACACTTCAGAGGATGAAGATGGGGAACAAGAGCCTTCCCCTTTGCCAGGCTTACATGGCAAGGCAGACCTGCCAGGGCCCCCAGGCAAGGAAAACCCCTCCAAAGCAGTGAGGAGGATTTCCTGGTGAGGAAACCAGAAAATAAAAGGGTCTCTGACTGCCTAGGAGCATTCCTCCGAAGTTGGGAGGAACAGCAAAGAGAGGTCAAGAGTCAGGACTCCTGGTTCTGCCTGTGGATTTCCCGTGTGACCAAGACCATGTCACTTGGGATCTTTGGACTCTCTGACCCATCTGGACATAATTGTTTCAGTCTCCAGTGTGGCTGTGACTCTAGAAATAATGGAGATGGGTGAGGCAGAGGTATTCGTCCACATATTTGCATCCTTGTGTGTTCTCTGCCTACAACAGTGCCTGGCACTGGGAGATACTCCACAGGTGTTTTTCACACAGGTGAATATTACAAGGTTGGGATCATAAGCCTCTGTGTAGCTATGAGATTTTCATGACTACGGTGTCCTCAGACAAGTAACCTCATCTCGGCTCCAGCTTCATGGAACAGAGATACTGATCCTACCTGTGATGAGATGAGATGCTGGCAAATCCAGAAAGGGTGCCAAATACCGACTAGGTGCTCATCAAGGGGTAGCTGCCATATGATCTCCATAGTTATGCTTGTTGGTTTGGTAGGAGCTGTGGGAATGTCTCCCATTCCTTGCCTTCCTTCCTACACTCACCCACTCCCATTACAGTGGCGTACATCCTAAAGTTCCTCGCCCAGTGGCCTTTCTCTGAGGATCAGACCAAAGAGAACCCACCAGTAGGGGTTGTAGGAAGAGGCTAAATCCAGGTGAGAGCAGAATGAGGCTGTAAACACTGAGAGGAGTTATGAGAAGGGGTGACAACCTTCTCCCAGAAAAATCTGTTGGAGTACACTATTTTCATCAGTGTGCGCTCGCTCCTCTGTTGACCCATGAGGAGGGACGAGGGACTTGGTGGCCTTTCACTGGAAGGCCCCTGCAGGCCACAGACAGCTCAAGGGTATTGTGATGAGGCCAGCGGGCCCTACCATGGTGCTCTGTGTGTCATCTGCCCCATGTGGACCCACAGGTCTTGGAGGTTAAAGAGCTGCTGAAATGCATTAGTGCTGCCTGAGAGTCAGAAGAAGAGGAGCCAGCCCAGTGGGCGGCTGTGCAAGAAGGGAAGAGAAGGACCTGCCGGTAAACCTGCCCTTGCAGCAGGCCCCGCACATCAGGTCCCCCAGGGGCCTCCCATCCGGGCCAACACCATCCGAGGTCCCTATACCCTCAAGGAGATGCTTGCCTTGTCTGTGGCGGCTGGAGATAAGGCCTGCTGGGCCACACCAGCAGGGAGGTGAAGAGTGAGATTAAACTGAGTTGAGCTGAGCAGAAAGACAAAGCCAGCCCTCTGGAATGAGGCATCCTTTCTCTGCAGAACTTGAATTTATGTTTCTTGTTTCTGTTTTTTTTTTTTTTTTTTTGGTTTTTCTCTGGTACCGGGAACCGAACTCACAACCTTGCACTTGCCAGGCAGGCGCTTTTTGCTGCTGAGCTAAATCCCCAGCCCTGAATTTATGTTTCTTAACACTACTTATAGTTGCCTGTGGGTATGACATCCAGGAAGATCACTTCCAGTTGTCGTCTGGTCCTTGGAGGCAGCCGCCCAGGTGTCCCCATAGTTTGTCACCCCAGGCAGCCCTAGGCTGCCCTGCTTCCTCTGCATTTCCCGCCCCTGCCCCTCATCACACTCGTGCTCTCCGAGGGGACGGGTCGCCTGGGGCCTCCTCCCAGGCCCTTTCTGAGTAGTCCTCCACACAGGGCCCCCCTACTTACCCTCCCCCGCCATGACCCCATGCTGAGTCCCACTGTCCATCCATGGTGTGACTCTGGGTCCTTTCCCCCGGATAATTATGAATACCAAGAAAGGAGAGAACTGTAATTCTTCGGTTCTCCCAGAGTACTGAGTTCAGTACCCAATAGGAAATCAATAAATGCTTCTTCAGTAAACAGGTAAAAGGCTGTAGTACTAGCACAAATTTAAGGTGCACTTTCTTATTACATCAGAATGGGTGTGTACCTTAAGGTATATTTCTGAGAAATTTGGTTCTCCTCTGATTCCAGGGTAAACCAGAGCAGTGGACTTAGGACTGTGCCCCAGTCGTGCTACTAATCTGTGTAGAATTGAGAATAAATCATGTAACTGTTCTCCATTTTGCCACTCGTGCAGCAGGTCACCACCAATCTTACAATGTCACAAGCGTAACAAGGGACCCAGTTTTGAAGGAGCTTTGAGAAATACTGGATGAGCAAAGGAGACATTACTCCAAGGGATTTGTGTGGGATTCATTGAACAGCCTTTATGATAATCCACTCTGCTCTATGATAATTCCACTCTATGATAATTCACTCCTGGGAATCGATGTGAAGGTATCCGAGCCCTTGCCCGTGGAAGCCAACAGCAGAGATTCAAACAGCAGCATGCAGCAGTGCAGTGACACGCCAGGAAGAGAGGGGAGAGACGGAGGCAGGGCGGGCAGGATGGGGTCTGGAGCTCCCCTGGCACCCTGGCCAGGTGAGCATCTGGGTGAGCCACAGCCGGGGCCTCCAGGACGCGAGGCCGGCTCTCCACTCCTGCGGAGCCTCGGGGTCGGGGAGGGGAGGGCAGTCTGGCAGACAAGGGTGAAAGGCCAGATGCTCCCGCTCCCCAGACACAGAAGGCTCTCCTCCCCCGGGCTGTGGCTTTCTCTCTGCCTCACCTCCCCTGGCTCCTGGCTTTGTGTCACTCCAGCTGGTCCCTACCCTTCACTGCCCAGCATGCTGTATCCTTCACGGAACCCAACACAGTCTGCCCACGCTGGTTTTCTGGACTGTCCTTTCCCACAAAAATGTCAGTCCCAGGAGAGTGGGGACTTCCTCTCCAGTCCCGAGATGTCACCAGCATCTGCCACAGTGTGTAGCACCCAGAAGGTACTGAATAACTGAGTCAGTGGTCTGGCTGTGACTTCAAGAGGGTCAATTTAAACACAGGGTATTGTTGCTGGGTTAAAGCAGCGGGCAGCATCCCCCTGTTACAGGTCTAAACACGGGTCGCATGGTGATTACTGAAGACAAGTCACATTACATTTTGAGTCCCACCTCAAATACTGACCACCCGTAGTCCCAGGCAGACCCAACCCCAAACCAGCCTGGTGAGAGGCATCCAGGCCGTGCAGCAGGAGGGTCTGTCATGGAGCCACAGCCAGCTACAGAGAATGGGAAGGACAAGCTTCAATGGGCAAAGGCTGCCTTTTCTTTACTTAGCATACACGTGTCCTCCTAAACGGCACATTTAAATAAATAAGGCAAACTGCGAAGATCTGTGGTTAAAAATGAAAGGGGAGGAGTGGGAAGAAAGCATCTAACAGATGGTCGCCGGGCCTCCTGTGACAGGTGGGATAGAATCAGCAGCACGGGCACATCGCTAAAGGGCTGGCTCATTGGCACAGTGATTGGCATCCTGCAGAACGCGCCCTACGCCTGCAAACTGCAGAGTCAACCCAGCCCAGAGCAGCTCTGCAAAGAAAACCTTCCCCAAAAGAGGCGAAGAGAGGAGGCCATGCCTGGCTGGCTAAGCATGAAGATGTGACCGCGGCTGAGGAAGGAGGCGTGCAGCTGCCCCTGAGGTGGCTGAGTCAAGCATCCCACACCATGCCACCCCCCACTTTTGCTCCGCCAACACCTGCACCCAGCCCAGGGCTCACCAGTCACCCGGCTCTGGTGGTCAGGTGACACACTGCCCCTGGGGAAAGCTCGCCTGGTCCACCCCTCAGTTCATACTGGAGAATTCTGCTCCCTACCCAACGGTGACCCACTGGGGGGCAAGGGCTGGCACTGTTTTCCAGTATTCCACTACCGATCACAGCGGCCGTGTCTGAAGTGGTTCCATGGGCCAGGCCCAGCCTTGACGGGGCGTACCTCCCAAAATGCTCTTTGATCTAGGGTGGCAGGCTCTGTGTGCAGGGCCATCTGTGTAACATCTCACCTTTTTGTAGTTCCCACTCTGGGTGCAGGCGGGGCCCCTTAGGGCAGAGCACCAAGACCGGAAGTCCACTGGGAGCAGGCAGAGGGACCCCAGAGGACAGCGGGGAGAGACTCGTGCTCTTGAGACCACCTGCCGTTCACCCTCACTGCTCTGCTCAGGCGCTGTGCTAACCCTTCAGGTGCAGAATCACTAAATCCTTACAACACGCCAAGAGGTAATATCATTATCATGCCCCACCCTCATTTAATATGTAAGGAAATGGAGCACAGAAAGAGCAAACAGCTTGCTCAAGGTCGCAGAGTTAACAATAGCGCGACAGGATTCCAACCCCACCACCCTACTCCAGACCTTCTCCCCAGGCAGCAGTAGTATTCCCGGCCCACCCTGACCGTCGCTGTCCCTCAGTGTTACAGGCATCTGCACAAGGACAGGCTCCAGCTAAGAGGGGCCTGCGGATGGCTGGTAGTGCCTTGGCCGAGTCATTGTCCCCCTTGGAGCTTCCGGCTTCTCATCAGTCTTAAGAAGTTGTTTACCATAGAGGCTGCCTTCTTGGGCAGTTGGAAGGATTAAATATTCTAATGGGTGGGAAAGGCTTAGAACAGCGCCTGGCACTGGAAGAACTCAATGAACGTGCCCCGTTTTCATGGTTAATAATATGATTGTTCCAACTGGAACATCCCAGCTCTCTGCCTGATTTCCTCTCTTCCCCTTGCTCCCTTTTTAATTTTTCCTCCGTCGTACACTTCCACCTCCTCCTTTCCCTCCTCCCAGCCCTGACATGCCGTTGAATCTGTTTAATTCACCCGAATGCTCAGAACCCCAGCTCTCTGAGTGTGACGACAGATTGGGGGGTGGGGGGTGAGAAGGCAGGGGCTGCTGCGATGGAATATAAATAAATTTGCACGTGCTCCTTTCTTTAAATTGCAAATTCGGTCCCATCGCAGGGCAATTTTTGATTCCTCTTCTCTTGAATAAGTGGAAAGATGTTTTATTCATGGGCATCTCCGCAGCACACATCCCCACGGAGGCGCCGTGTGTGTGAATGGATCCGTGCACCTGGTCAGCCCGCCGGGCGCGCCAAATGCTGTGACGTCATCTTCCAGTCCCAGTGCCTGGCCGATAGTAAGCGCTCAGGTGTCTGGCTGGGGAAGGAAATGTGTTCTGCTGCCGCCCTCTTAAAGGACACATGATTTTAAATCCCCTGCTCCATCCCTGTGGCTCACGATTCTCTCCCGTCCTTCCGGCTTAGGAAGGGGATCCCAGCACAAACTCCCCACGCGGTGGGTGACAGGGACAGAGCTGAGCACACACCTCCAGTGATGTGGGTGTTTTCCTACAAGGTTTGATTTGAGCAGCGCCTAAAGATCCCTCCAGTCTCTGGGCTGAAAACAGCGAGGGTTAATGCCGCGCGCTGTATACCATGGTCGGAGGGGCTGGCCTCGTCCCACCATTTGCTGGGTGACTCTTCACCCGCTCTGAGCTTGGCGTCCTCCCTCGCTGGCAGAGCAGAAGGAAAGAGGAATCTCGAGGGGGAGAGAGGAGGTGAAGAAAGAAGGGAAGCGTGCCTGCTCTCAGCATCTGGCCGGCCGGGTGGGACAGGGTGGTGGGCGGAGGTTGGAAGAGGAGGGAGCCATTTACCCGCACAGCCAACAAACAAGGACCCAGAGCACAAAGCCAGGCATTGTGCTACACGCTGAGGAAGTAAAAAGGAATTTTTTATTTATAATTTATACCCCACCTACTTCCAAAGAGAATTCTGAAGGTGACTCACAATGAAAACCACATATGCAACAAAATCACTAACTTTGAAATAGAAAATCAAACCCGTGGAAATGAAGAAAGGAAACCAACATTTCTTCTCACCGTGGGCCAAGTGGCCGAGGACGCACTGTCCTTCAGCCCAGCAGGCCCATTTGACAGATGAGGAGGGCGAGAGCAAGCAGACTCGGTGCCTCGGCCCGCAAGGCCTTTAAAATGCCTTTTTGTAAAACCGGAAGAGCTAAAGAACATTCAGATTAAACAAAGTGCTCTGATATATGATATTAATACCGCGTCTTTGTACTAATACAATTGTAAATATATTTTAGGAGGACAGGGCCCCATAAATGTCAAAGTGCTTAGGACCCCAAAAGTTGTGACAGCCCCTGTTGGTCACAAACTGAGGCCTGTCTCCCTCCAAAGCTCCTGCCTCTCCAAGCCGATGCAGGAGGATTTGCTGTGAGCTCTGCAGCCAAAAAGGGACCATGACGAGATGAGGAATTCTGCTTCATACAAAGGATGTGGCATAGAGCACACTTACACACTCTCCAGTGAGATTATGGGCGGGGGGTATAACTTTAATTTTTTCTTGATAACTAACCTATTCTTTCTTAACAGATCCACTGGGTGGCAGAGGAAAAACCCCACGTTTTGTCCAACTTGGTACATTTCCAGTCTGAATTACTGACAAAAACTGTCTTTCTAGGTAAGTCTCGCCTTTTGAGGCCAGCTTCTCTGTCTCTTGAACACTGCAGGGCAGGTGCTTCCGACCGCGTTCTCACGGCAGCCCAAGGAGATGTCCCCAGGGTCCCGTTGTACCCCAGTCCTTATTGCTGTCTGCTGCGGGGGCAGAGCCAGCCTGCTGCCTGTGCCCCTGGTCTCTGTGGCGGGATGGCCACATCGCTGGAGCCTGTGCTCCCTCCCAGCTGCTCTGACGACCCGTTGTCCGGTCGCCAGGTCCCTGCCATTCTGCTGGTTCTCCTGGCAGCTGCTTGGGTGCTGTCCCAGCTGCCCTACCTACCACTTCCTGCCCACCTGCGTGCTGCATGCTGGACAGGGACCCCACTGCCGCCTTCGTACATCTGGGTGCTTCAAACATTGCCGGGGTGTGCTGATATGTGGAGGAGAAGGGGGTGGAGGCGATAATGGCAGCGACAGAGGAGCGCTCTAGGGCCTGACCTACCTGTCTGCCTTCCTCTTCCCACGGTCCTTGAGGATGGAAGGGCCAGGCTTTCCCACAGTCATCTCCAGATCCATGCAGCCAGGCCCTGCTTTTGCTATGTTAAATGGGAGTCACAGGAATTTAGAAATCCCTTTCTTCTTAACAAGGACTAGCTTCTTAACTGAGAATCAAACACTGCTTTCACACCAAAAAAAAAAAAAAAAAAAAAAAAAAAACACCTGGAATAAGAAGATCTACAAGATAGGAAAACCTGTTTTTAAAAGTTCCAAAAAGTATAACCCCATTGCAGAAATGTGTTAGTTCAACTGGGAAGACCAGTTATGTTGATAGAAAATTCCAAAAGAAATGTATTCTGTGGGTCCTTATACAGAAAACATTGAATCCTTGCTTTGCAAATCTTCTTCCAGTAGCTGTTTGTTATTCCAGAAAATAGCTGGAACACTGAGCACTTATCTGGCAAAAGAGATGAACCCTGTGAGTCCAGTTGAGCAGCTTGCGGGCGGTTCTCACACCTGATGCAGCTTAGACACCAGAGAAAACAGCATGTGTAGCACACATCACCTCTTTGAGGAAGGGCTTGGGTGTGGGATCAGAGGCACTGTCGGTCTCTCTCACCGAAGGAGGTCAGGAAACATTTCAAAACAAAGATATGGCATAGCCTATCTATCAGCCATCACAGTTTTTTGGAAGATTAGTCATGATTCAAAACAACCAGAAATGGTTTGGACATTTGGGGAAAGGTCTGTTTGGAAAGGAAATGACTCAACAATTATTAAATGTTGGAGGATAAGACAGCAGACTCCAAGATCTTCTAGATTTGGGCTGCAGAGATGCAGCAATCAAAGGTCTGCATACAGATGTTGATTCTCACTGTGGGCCAGGAAAGAGATTCTAAAAGCTGTAAGTAGCTGCCTTAATCAGGAGGCTCATGAGAAAAATTAAGGCACTCAAGAGAATCTCCTGCCTTTGGGAAAGAGAACAAAACAAGAATGGTCACTATTGTGTTGAAGGTCCTGTCCATTGCAGTGAAGAAGAAAAGTAGTGTAATAGAAAGGGTGAAGATTGAAAAAAAGAAACAAAACTTTAAATATGCATGGGTAATATTCTCATATGAATAGAAGATCCAGTCGTCTACGGATATTGTTTATTAGCCCAAGTAAGGGAGATAAGCCGGGTTGCTGGGTATGAAATTAATATGCAAAAAAATGGGTTCATTTTGATATGTGAGCAATGAAGACTGAGAAAATGAGATTTTTTAAAAAGTAATAATTTAATTTATTACAGAAATAAAATATGTAACAAATTTATTCTAGCCTTCTATAGAAATTATTGAATTTTATTAACCAGCATGTAATGGATGGACTCATAAGTGCAGAAATATACTATATTCCTGGATGGATGAGTTGATATTGTAATAATGTCAGTTTCTCTAAATTTATACACATGAAGTATGATGAAAAATATGATAAACATTTAAATTTTAATCACCTACCAGTCCAATTATTTAAATACAGGATAACCAAAAATTGCAATTTTCCACAAATTTTTATAAGATAATATAACAAAAAATGTAAAAGTAATGATTTTATCAAATGTATTCAATACAAGAACCGACTGGTTGAAAGGACACCTGCCTGAGTGACACTCAGAATAGGCAGTATACAAACAAACGCACTCACTGCCCAAGTGACGCTCGGGGTAAACTGCTAAGTGGTTAAATAATTTATCAGTAAAAGACATATTGCCACTGGTCTTCCTGAAAGTACACCCCTTGCTCTGAAGATACTTATTCAGTCACTCGAACCACCTTTGGAGCAGTTTTGGAAGCCTCTTTAGTTGTGCTGTCATGGTTGCCTTTGTATCTGAATCGATTCAGAATGTTTGCCTTTCCTAGTCATCTAGACTTTGGGAGAGAGACAGAAGTCATGTAGCGCCAGGTCCAGTGAATGAAGTGGGTGAACACACCGTATGTGTTACACGCCTGCCTTTCTGTTGGATGGCACTCAGCAACAGCATTCACCATTTTTTTCTATCTCAGCTTGCAAAGACACTCACGAAAGAAGACTTCTAGAACTGCTTCAGAAAATGGCAAGAATGATGGGCTAAGTGCTTTAAGTGCGGGAGAACTCTTGAGGAGGATCAATGGCAATGTGTCTTTTACTATAATGCATTGTTAAAATTTAAGCATTCGCCTTGCCTTTTGTTCATACCATATAGATTCTAAGCGTCCCAATGTAAACGCAGACAAGAGCACACCGAATGATTTCGCGGAGAGGGCAGAGCGTTCGGTATTGTGAACATCCCATCGCATCTCTGTCTAATCATGCTGTGGGGCCTGCCAGGCCTCGGGCCCTGCACCTTCTCCACAGGCTCCAGGGCCCTGGTTTTCTTTGTGTTTTCATCAAAAAGTACTCCCAGAGCTGTGTGGCCGGCAGGCCCTCAGCTCATCTTTGCTGGGGAGCCGTAGCGCAATGGGTACAGTGACCAGGAAGACTGGGGCCGTGTGTGTCCAGGCTGGCTTGCTGCGCCCTCCCAGCCCTTGTCCTGGAGGGCGGGCATTCAGATGACACTGCGCAGCAAACACCTTTCCTTCGTCACTCTTTTCCTTCCTTCTTGCCTGCTTCTCTTTCTTTCTTTTTCCTTCCTCTCTGCCTTTCCTTCTTCCTGTCCCTCCCTTTTCCTTGTGTCATTTTCCCTTTGTCTCCCTCTGTCCCTGTCCTTGGCCCTGTCTTCTCAGTTCCAGCTCCTGTGCTCTGCAATCTTCCTGGTCCTCTAGTTCTCTCCTACAGTCGGTCAAATGACTCAGTGATAAAGGAACTGAATCACTTGAGCTGTGCTCCCCTTCACTACCCAAGACTCAGCTCAGCTGGGCTGGTTCTGGGGAGGCCCAGCTCCCTCTGGGACCATCATGCTCTCTCCACCCGCTGCCCTACAGCCCAGACCCTCTGGGGGCCGGAAGCCAGCTCCACTAAGTGACCGCGAAGCCCCTAGGCTGCCCTGAGAGCCTTTTCAAAGCTGCAGCCAGAGAAGGACCTTGTTTGACTTCTAAATTTATCCATCCTTCGCTGCATGAGCAAATGCCACCCCCTTCACGCCCTCCCAGACCCACAATAGAAGCAAAGATTGTTGGCTGCCCTTCTCTTCACCCCAAAGGAGGGCTGCTTTTGCTTTTGCAGTAAGGGGCATTAGAAGAGTGTTGCCTGCCAGGAATGCATAGATGTTTTTCCTCCTCAGTCTGGGCTGATTTGACCTGATTGACTGGCAAGATAGAGATTTGCCAGAGGAGAGGGAGGAGGAGAAAAGGACGGGGGGGCGGGGGACGCGGGGTGCTGCAAGAGGCAGAGGCTGCAGAGAGAGAGGCAGAAGGAGGAGGCAAGAGCAAGCTCCAGAAAATTAGAACCGGAAAAGGAAGGAGGGAAGTCCCGGAGAATCCAACACATACAACACGCATTTGGTAGAGGAAGAATCCGAGGCCTCAAAGACGCGAAGCAGTTTGCTTCTGTCCTAAGTTTGTCATGGCACAGCCCAGATTAGCAGGCAGGTCTGAATCCATCCCAGCCCCACTCTGCCTGCCGCCCTAGTCAAGGCAAAAAAAGCTGACAGTCTTGGCAGCAAAATGAAACTTTTTGATGTACGAGGAATTCAGAGATATCTTCCAGTTGACGGCGTTCGGAGAACCGCACAAGCCCACACTTTCGTGGGGGCTGCGTTTAACGAGCATGTGAGTTATTCATTTTTCATTAAGGGTGGCGTGCACTGAATATACATCAGTGAAAACGAGGTCCCCACTTAGAGCCCAGGTCGCGTGGTCGGCAGGAGCGGGAGAGCCAGGGAGTACAGAGGCAGAGGGGAGCAGCCAGAGTGACACCTCCAAGCCCTTCCCGCCAAGGTCGTGGTCATGTGTAAATCTCTCAGGGACTCACAAGGCTAGGTGCTGCTGCTCCCGTGTCACAGATGAAAAACTTGAGGCTCAGAGAGAGCAAGTCACACGTCCCAAGTCGCCCAGCTGGTGAGTGACAGAGCTGGGACTAAAACCCAACCCACCTTGGCTGAGCTTCAGGTAGCCGTCTGTGCAGGAGTGGGAGTCTGGCCACACATTGCCCGGGTTCCCAGGGTGCAGATGAGGCTCAGAGCGAGGTCCGAGCTGCAGACACTCCTTTCAGGCCTGGCTGCAGGAGCGCAAGGCCCTGGTGGTCAGCCCGGCCCGGCTGGAGAGTTGGCTGAACCTACGAAGTGTGGGGAACGGTTGGCCACAGTAGTCCCCAGCAGTCTCCATTCTTCTCTGCTGTGCTGTCCTGGACTTGGAGACACCCGGCATCTATCTCAGGAGGCCTTTGTCCCCACCTCAGATGAGCCTTAGAGCTGGGCAGACCTGGCCTGAATCTGGAGGCTACCAGCTATGGTCAGACACCGAAAAAGCACCACAGGGTCTCCTGGGCCTCAGTTTCCAAGGTTCAACTGTACTATTTAGGTAAGGACGCCCACATCTCAGCGTTGTTTGGAAAGATTAGTAATAAAAACTAACACGGCGACTACATGCATTTGCCACGCATTCTGCAAAGCCCCTTACCTACTTTACCTCTCCTAAGTGCTACAGATATCATTTCCATTTTACCTACAGGAAGCAGAAGCTTAGAGAAATCATTTGCTTGTCTGGGCCACACAATTAGCTGGTGACAGGGTCAGGATTTGAACCCAGGTCAGCATGCCTCCCCAGCCCACTAACACCATTTGTTCACAGCATGCCTAGCTTGTAGCTGACCCTCAACAACTGCGCGTGCCAGTACCATCTATGTCCCTAAGAGCCCCGGCTCTTGCGACGTGTCTGAGATGGGCTTTGGGGCCCGCTGGTGCAGAGTTTCTAGAATCAGAGAAAGCTGGGGGAGGGGCTCGCCTGGGCCAGCTCCCTCCCTCCCCCTCAGCCTTGCTTCCTTTGGGGGTTGCCAAACATTGCTTAGCTCCAGACCTCTTGTGGAGCTGGAAACAACGCAAGTTTATTTTGGCAGCTGGAGAGGACTGAGTCCCCTCCTCTGAGCACCCCGTGGGAAGGGGAAGAGGGAACGTGCCGGCGCTGTCAGTTCCTGTCACTCTCTCCAGCGTGTCTGTGGCATAGTCACAGCCGTGTGACGCTAAGGTGGAAGTAAGAGCATGCTTCCCGTTGCAGACGGGTCACCAGCTGGACCCCTCCTCTCCTTGCACTCTCTCCAAAAAGAAGTCACACCAG